TATTAATAATATTTATTATTATCAGCCACTTTAAACATTATCAATAGTTTGAACATTGAAACTGTACTGTGCTTATATGTACAAAAAACGAACAAACAAAATGTTAACGTTTAAATAAAATGTGCTTTTAAAAGTTCGTTAAAAATGGTAGGCTACTGTTCTTAAAAAGTAAAAAAAAAATAATAATAATAAATCCTGTACTTAAATGTAAGTGCTACCTATAGTATCCTCTTCATCAAAACCTGCAAGTGTTGCTTGGACCTCATAAATACAGGTTATATGTCATCTTATTCATGTAGAAACCATTTTTTTACATTTTCAAATGTATGTTGCATGTTCATATGACATATTGGATTCCTCTGCGGACCACTAGAAGGAAGAGCGCGTACCTCTAGTGGTACACATACCACAGTTTGAGAACCACTGATTTAGCCTAACATGTTTACTGCTCTAAAATATCATAAGTGTTTCTAAAAATTAAATATACTGTGTTCAAAGGTGAAAAAAGTTTTTTTTTTTTTTTTTTTTTTTTTTACACCAAGACATTTTAAAAGAATATATTTTAGAGCAGTAATCACAACACTGTGAAACAGTGATATTTTTGTCCTAGGTTATTATACCATCATATCGTATTCTGGCCCATGCCTACTTGCACTGCACAGTATAACACTAGAAAACCACTGAGAATGATAGCATTGTAAAACTAAGTGGTTTAGTGAAAGTATACTCACTTATGGCCTAGTGGTTAAAGTCAGATTCGAGTCCTGGCACCACTAGGAATTGTTGGTGGAGTTTCTACGTGCTGCTTGTGTCCATTAAATTCAATGCCCAAATTCTGAGCTTAGAACAAAGTTCACAAACTATTTATTTACAAATGTGTACTAGTATACTCTTGAGTTCACTTGCATTACAAGTGAAAAATGTCCACTTGTAGACTTTAAAGCATACTAAAAGTGGGCCAATTTAGTCACAAATGGTATTATTGCAGGTTTGCTTCTAGTTTGTAAATGTTAATATGTGAATTAATTAAATACACCTCTATATTACTTAAGTATATTTATTAAATATATTTATTGTTAGCAGTTGTGACAATTTGCCTACTGTATGTGTACTGTATAAACAAGATATGGATCAATCACTCAACTGTGCTAATTTATGATGTATCTAGTGTTACAGGATGTTTTATTAATGTATCCTGCAGTGGAGCTACAATCATGTATCAAGATCTTGATCAAACACAATAAGGGAAGTAGACCACTTTATATTGATATAGTTACATTTCTGTGTAAATACACATTATTTATTATTTCTAAAATTGTTTCTTTGCACGCAATGCAAAACTAGAAAAAAACAAAGAACATTAGATAAGAAGCAGGATGTGGGTTTTACATAAATCTACATATCAAACTGTGCAAAAACAATTGCATAGAAAAGTATGGCGTAGGCAACAGTGATTCAGCTGGTTGTTCCAGTCATCTTGATTTAATTTGAATTATTTAAAAAGGGATTTTCTGTGGAATACAATCAGATGTATATTTTTGAGAGAGTCAACACAGCGGAATGAACCAGCAATTACTCTGTCAAATGTTTTACCAGTGGATGCCCTTCCTGCCACAATCCAGTAAGAACTGGTGGTCTCGTATGACATGGTCATTTCCAATAGTGCGCAGTGAACCGACATACTGTATAGCATCATTGTGCTTCAGGCGTCCCAAGTTCAAGTCTTGGCTTGCAGACTTTTACCAATCCTGTCTTCCTTTTCTCTCTAGTCTCCATATATAACTTAACTTCCTCTCTACATGCAGTCACATGACAAACCTAAAAAGTTAAAACTAGGTATGGGCCGGTATAAGATTCTGATGGTATGATAACCTTGGAATAAATATATCACAGTTTCGCGGTATTGTGATCACTGCTCTGAATATATTTTTAAATGTCTGGGTAAAAAACAAAAACTTTTTGAAAGAAAATGTTGACTTTTTTAAAACCTTGACTTTTCCAAACCAAGGTATACCTTGAAAACGGTTATCGTCCTATGCCTAGTTAAAACTGCATAATTTAAGGGAAGGTGAAGGCGGGAACATTCCCACAGCTCTCTGCCACGCCCCTCTCGTTTTATGATTGCGTTTGAAATCGTCTACTACTTGGTAGGTATTTGAATTTTTAATTTACTACTTGATTATTAGAAAAATATGTTTTATACAGTATGAATGTGGGTTGTATTAATGGAGCTCGGAAGTATTATTTCTGCCATTTGTCATCATCACCACGTGACCTACAAAAGTCAGTTGCGTCGCTTCACTCACATTCATGAATTCCCTCGTGTGGCATCATGGGATAAATTTGCGTCCATGGGATGCACAGTTTAGAATCTCGCCAGAAGTAGTAGGTCATCTGTGTACTTTTTGCATACTGTTTTTCCAATTCTGTGAATGCAGACATACAACTCGGCTTGCATTCTATTTTTAGAGCACTATTTAGTATGGAAGTATGTGATTTCGGACGCACATATGTTAAGCTAGTGTTTTCAATCCTGGTCCTCTTGTGCCACAAGGCAACTGTGTTGAACTTTATAATAATATAGCTTATAGCTTACTGTACAGTATATAATAGTTTTGATTTTTACATATAGTCTTGGATTACTTTTTTTTATTTTATTTTTTTTACATTTGAAAGTTTTATATTAATGGATGGATAATTTTTTAAGACTATTAATTAATGCAATTCTCAGAAAGAAAGTTAGTTTGTTAGATTAATACTTAAAGTTGTTCTAATATTTCAGTGTTTGCTTTAAGTTTTTTATTTAATATATTTTATTTGTATTTATTATTTTTACAGTTGATATGTTAAAGAGGGTAGCAGAAGCTTCACAACAAGAAGGTCGCTGGTTCGGGCCTCGGCTTGGTCAGTTGTTATTTCTGTGTGGAGTTTGCATGTTCTCCCCGTGTTTGCGTGGGTTTCCTCCTGGTGCCCCGGTTTCCCCCACAGTCCAAAGTCATACGCTATAGGTGAACTGGGTAAGCTTAACTGGCCGTAGTGTATGTGTGTGAATGAGTGTGTATGGGTGTTTCCCAGTGATGTGTTGCAGCTGGAAAGGCATCCGCTGCGTAAAACGCATGCTGGATAAGTTGGTGGTTCATTCCGCTTTGGCAACCCCAGATTATTAAAGAGACTAAGCTGAAAAGAAAATGAATGAATGAATGTTAAAGTAATTTGCAGAAATAAATTTTCAAATAGGGAAAAATCGTTTAACCTTGCTTTTGCATTTTATTTACAACCTGTTTAATGAATGTGATTTTAACATCTTACATAAAGTTTTGTTACAAAATAAATATTTATTCTGTTTCAATAAAAATACAAAGATATACAGTTTAAGTCAGGATTGTTAGCACCACTCTTAATTTTAAATTCTTTAAAAAAAAGTTCACAGAGTTGAGATCTCTTTCAACACTTTTCTAAATGTAATAGTTTAAATAACTAACTTCTCATTTATTTTGGTCTTTGCCATGATGACAGTACATACTATTTGTCTAGATATTTTTCAAGACACTAGTATTCAGCTTAAAGTGCAATTTAAAGGCTTAACTAGGTTAATTAGGCAAGTCACCCTTTCAGTGGTTTATTCTGTGTCCAATGAGAAAAAAATGTATCCTGTTAACCTTGCATATCTTGTAACACTTTTTAACCTCTGGGGTCAATTTGACCCCAACAATTTAAACTTCTAAAACTTCCTAAATCCCCCTTTTTTTTTAAACTAAATGGTCATTTATGTCACAGTTGACTCCTTAAATAGCCATAAAAATAACCCCTCCACTACCACCATGCCCTGCCTCTTAGATATCCACATTTCTCACAGCATGACTATGGACAAAAATCGGCAAATCACCATAAAATTTTGCTAAATTAAACAATTTTGCTAAATAATAAAAAAAAAAGCTAAATAAACCCAATACTGGAAAAAAATGTATGCATTTGGTGTTTTCATTGTTTCTAATATGTATTTGTAACAATCACCAGCAATTTAGGGACTGTAGATCGCTGGTGGACTACACACATCACAAACTACCACTTACAGTATGCATTGCACCAATCTACACCTGCTCCAGCTGACTGTTGTCCGGACATTCACAGACACATACAGACGAACACAGCTGCAGTGCATTCCACTTAATTACCTGGACTATATATTTCAGTTTGTGTTTCCTTCGCGTTGTTTTTTTTTTTCGTTACTCCCGTGATGGCCGTGTGTTCTCTAGTTTGTTGTAGTTTTGTTCTGGTTTGTTTAATAAATATATGTTAAACGCTGCATTTGGATCCTCACCTTGTCTTCCTTCTTTGCACTACACATGCACATAAAGGTATTAATACATATTTTTAAAATTTGTTCAAGAATCGCCATTTCTTTTATGAAAGACAAAACATGAATTATGTTGAGTCAAACATTAAAAAGATTTAATTTTTAAGGGAGCCAGTAATTTTGACCTTAAAAATTGTTTTAAAATATTTTTAAAAAACTGTGTTTATTTCAGCCAAAATAAGACTTTTGCCAAAAGAACAAAATAAATAACAAATATATTTTATTAAATAATAGTATAGGAGATATCTTGAAAATATCCATTCTCTATTAAACATCACTTGAGAAATATTTGAAAAAGAATAAAAATTTCACAGGATATTTAATAATCTTGCCCCTAACTGTATATCATATATTGCCATTCATCCCAAAAAAACAGAGATATGAAATGTAGTCAATATCACCCAGTCTGTGATAGATGGTGGAACTGGATTGGCATGAACAGTTGAATGTCAGCAGATGTAAGCTTGGCATGTGACCTTCCTGAACAACAGCAATAATTAATTTATTTAACTTCCCTAGAAAACAATGATGTCATTTTATTATCGAAAAGTATACACCCAAGATTTGCATAAAACTGTTTAATCTCAAACTGATCTAGAGGACAGCTAACATTAATTTGTTGTTCGATGCAATCTCTGATATTGCATAGGTGGGATCCACCTTTTAATCAAACTTGATACTCTCCCCAAAGCAATATTTTACCTATAAAAAGATGAAGGCTGACGGTAACCTCACATTATCCCCGGAGGATGGACATGGTCTTCATTGTCAGGATGTCCCAGATGTGGATGGTGAGATGGGTCGTACTGCTGGTGGGACTGCAGTCAGTACAAGCAGGTAAGCCTATTACAGTCTTTTCTGTTCTCATTTTACAATATGCAATATTATAGTAAAATGTGTATGTCTTTTTATGTTTGAAGATTTTATGTCTGATTATGGGGATGAGGTTAACCTTCGAGTGACGGACCAGATGACTGGTAAATATTTCATTTAGTTTTTCATTTAATGCATTATTAGTGTTAATCAGGTGAATTTTCAGATACATTTTTTAAAGTAGTTTCAGAGAAATTAATGGCATTTAAAATGTGATTTCTGGGACAATTTATCATAGCAATTATCAGTAAAAAAATAACATTTAAAATAAATGAATAATATCATAATATCATTTAATAACAGAAAAAATAAATAATTTTAAAAAGTCAAAAACGTTTTTTTTATTTATTGCCTTGTAGAATCACAGTTTTTGTAGAATCAGTGTTGCGCTTTGGAGTCTAATAGAGCTGTTGCCATCAGCAAAACACAATGAGCCCTATCACACACCCGGCGCAAGATGTGTTCAGTGCGATTTGTTGCTATTCTCAGACCAGCGCATACCCTGATTTAAAAAAAATAAAAACCACTGCCTTCATGCCCTCTTAATCTCGGGGGGCTTTTTTTCAGTCTATTCATTACAATCTGCATTTGTATAATGTTATTATAAGTCATAGTATTATTTATTACATGCATATTTATATTTCTTATAACAAAAAGTTTAGATTTGTCCACCTGTCAAGTTTTGTAGATGTATGCGTCACCAAATGGGGCGTAAGAATAGGACGCGTGTTTGGATATTACTCAGTTTTCGACCACACTTCGTTATTATTGTTCATTTATTAATTTGCTGGAAATTAGAACAGAATTTAGAAATAGCTTTGAAACAAATCTGTGCGCTTAACAAACAAAATTAAATATGTAGGCTAATGGATATCTTCAGTGCGAACAACACTGTTTCCTTATCCACGAAAGTAAAGGAGTAAAGAGTAAAAGTAAAGGGGCTGAATGGAGAAGGTTTGTTCTTTATCCTTGCGTGGCCGATGCTTTGTTTAACTATTTTCTCTCTAATAAAGCATTCAGGTTTCCTCTTACAAAGTCTGCCATGTAAACTGCAAATGTGTCATGGTGTGAAGCAACTGAATCCTAAAGGAAAAAGGAGATGAGACTCTGATTGGTTTAATGCACGTTATGCTAAAAACAAAAGAGAACAAGCACAGCCCTGTTAGACCATGCGACCGTATTTTTCCGTCCTTAAAATAGCAAAAGTGGATTTGAACATGCTCTTCATGCTTTTGCACCATGGAGTTTAGACTTAGATCGTTAAAATAGAGCCCAATATGCATGTCAAAAGGTAGATTTATATATGCCAGAGGTCTGTAATAAAAAAAAACATTTTGAAGACTGTATAAAATAATATGATCAATAAATCAGTTTAATGTCTAACCTAAATATGGCTTTCAAGGTTCATTTTACTTAAATTAAAGCAATTAATATTCTAGTTCTAGTGAACAAAATGAGTTTGTCAAGGCAAATAGGATCTAAACCAGGAAAAGCGGATACTTGTGATTTTAAAAATATAAAGTATTCATAGTTTTACTGTATTAATTTTACCAAACAAAATTAATCATGAATACTAAGACAATTAAAAGTCAATCAATTAGCAAATGAGAACACTTAGATTTTTAATTATTCATTTAAATAGGGCTGCACGATATTTGAAAAATCTAACATTGCGATATTTTTTTATTCTGTGCTTCATATTGCGATATGTTTACAATTTCACTAGATGAGTTGAATAACTATTTGGAAAGAATTTATCTATTTAAATTGATTTGGATATTTTTTTTAGCAGAGTGGATACAATATAATAAATAATCGACAAGCATAGATAATCTTAATAAAGAAACCGATACCAATTAAATACACTGTGTTTTATTATTTTCTGAGAAGTCGAACTGTATTCAGATATACAGTAATTGTATAATCAAATGTAAAATAATACTGTATGGCCTTTGTTTTATATACAATTCAATAAAATTAATTGTTGTTAATTTGTCATAGATGCAAACGGTACAATTTCTCATGCCCGAATGCTTTTAAAATCTTCACACAGTCACGAACCTCAAAAAACAAATGCGAAATGATAAATATAATCCAGAATCAACATTGCATATACTTGCGATGTGATCATTGCGAATGATCACGTTGCGATATCGATGCTAAAACGATATATTGTGCAGCCCTAAATCAAATGATAAAATGTGTGAATGTAGATGGATAAAATTCTCCTCGCCTTTTTATTTTCAGTGTTCCCAGGCATGGCAAATGTGATTGTAACTGAAGGTACGCAGTCCTTCATAGTTTTTATAATCATCTTTAGTCTTTAGAAAAGATCAGATTCATAAATGATTTCTCTTTTGGTGTAGCCGTACCGAATCCAGATCATCAGTCCACGATCTGCAGCACATGGGGCAATTTCCACTTCAAGACATTCGACGGTCATTTCTTTCAACTGCCAGACACGTGCAGCTACGTTCTGGTAAAGATGTGCAACAGTCCCGTGTCTGATTTCAACATTGAAATCCAAAGACAGATTGTAAATAACTCAATCACGTTTGGCAAAATCACGATAAATCTGGAAGGGACAGTCATTGTACTCACCAACAACGACATCATCATGGGAGACCAAGTGTAAGTGTGTTTATTCTTTTCCAACTAAACTTTAAATTTAAGACTACATTCAAATGTCTTTTTTATAATCTCTTATAATCAAAAGATTTCTTTTGTTGAATGTTGTTTTTTCCTACTCTAACATGGTTTTAAAGTTACATATAAAATTGACTGTTAAAAAAAGAAAGTGCTAAAGTTGTTTGTCATCAGATAAACATAAATTTTAAGGGGCCAATACATAGCTTTGAGGTATGCCAGATAATTTTAAATATCTGCAATATTGATGTGTGAGTGTTTATTATTTTATTAACTAAATTTTACACTAAATGCAAATGTCTTGGTTTATATTCCCTATTCCCTTGGTTTATATTCCTATTCCAACAGGGTGTACGATTCAACCTATAAGGATGGAATTACCATTGAGCTGAGCCCAAATGTTAAGATTTCCAACAAACATGGAGTGTCTGTCTTTTGGGAGAAGGACAGATCGTTTTTGGTATGTTTATTATTGTCTGTTATGTTTGAATGCACTCTTAACACAACTAGTTGACATTAAATTGTGTGGAAACCTATTGCCTTAAACGTGTTAAGTGGTTAGTTGAAACTTATCAGCTCTAGTTTAGTTAACATAGAACTACATAGAACAAGGATGTCAAACTCAATTCCTGGAGGGCCACAGCCCTGCACAGTTTAGTTCCAACCCTAATCAAACACACCTGATCAAACTAATTGAGTCCTTCAGGCTTGTTTGAAACCTACAGGTAAGTGTGTTGGAGCAGGGTTGGAACTAAACTATGCAGGGCTGCTGCCCTCAAGGAATTAAGTTCGACAACCCTGACATAGAACCATATGTTAATTTAACCATTTAGCTTGTTACTTTCAACAACTTAAGTGGTTTCAGTTATTGGGTTTCCACACAATTTTCTAGTAAAGTCAACAATTTGGGTTAAGTGTACTGTATTTAGTATGCAAAATTGTACGTTAGGATAAATAAGGTCTGCCTTCAGTCATCTAAGTGTCTTGTAACATTTCCAAACCATGACCGTGAATTAAAAAGTGCTTTTAAAAGATCAATTTTACTGTAAAAGAACAGGATTGGAAAGGGCTAACACAGTAATTTTATTAATAAACTGCAAGTTCAAGTATTCTGGGAAACTTCTACTCCGCTAAATTATATACATGTTGGGAAAAAAGTTATTCAAAACTCGATAAATCATTGTCTGCAAAGACATGTAACGGTGGTGTTTAATATTTGAACGAACTGAATATTTTCAGTTAACATGCTTATTTCTTTTGCACTCAACTTATGTCATTTAGACTAATGGCGAAATGTATGATCTGTAGTAATGTAAATAAAATTTAAGAATTTAGTAGTATTGTGAATAACAATCAACTTGAGGTCACATTTCTTAATTGTTTGTGAAGGATATCTGCTGTAAATTCAAGGTGTTAAAGTTCACCGTAGGACATGTTTGGATGTGGAAATGTCTAGAGTTTTGTATTACTGTGTAAACACAGAAGGTTTATTTAAAATACCATCTATAAGTGCTCACGCATTTTCCACAGTACATGATAAGTATTAAATAGTTGCCCATGTTTGCATACAGTTATTTTTAAAAGAAACAATTTTGTTCTGTGATGCCTGTTTTTTTTATTGTGTGTTTATATTTGTCAGGACACAATTAGAAACATTTTGTTTCTACTCTTTACTTTCAAGATCATAAAAAAATCAAGTTCTTCTGTACTTTGAGTCACGATTAAATTAAGTCTTTTGTGTCTCCAGAATGTGTTAAAATAGGTTATCAGATCATTGAATACACATGTGGTATAATAAATGATCTGAATACACTTCCTGTATTCCTGAAGTCTTAGCACTCATCAATTCCTGCCACAGCTGGCAGCAATAGACACTGATACACACACAGCTGAAGCTCATCTTTACTGATTACATGGACTAACTTTCCCATACACTTTGCTGAGTCTTGTTTAGCTGTTGCATTTGATTCAAAGCGGTTTCCTTGTTTCTTATTATCCCGTATTTTGACTTTTTGGTATGTTTGGTTTGTTTATCGTGTTTTTTGATGCTTTGCCGCCTGTTTTAAACCTTTGCCTGTCTTATTTCGAAATACGCTTTTGGATTATCTATTGCACTGTATTTACTGGGTTTTGACTCCTGCCTGTCTGACCATTCTCAAAGCTGCATTTGGAACTACCCTTGTCTGCACCTTCGTAACTTCTGGGAGTTGTAGTTTGGTAGGAATATAGGAAGTGATCTTCAGCAGAGGCAACATTGCTGGCGATCGCAGTAATACCCCGTTGAAAATGTAAATTTTTTTTTTCAGTCAGAGTAAATTTTAGCTGTTTTGCACCAGAGCCTTTGAATGAAAATAAACTGGCACTCCCTGCCCCCTCTTCAGGCATGTCTTTAGAATAATATACCCACCATTAATTGTCAGATAAACACAGCACAATGACAGACATAGACTACTAAGTACCAAAAGAGCCAAAGTGCCAAATACCAAAGTCAGACTGAATCAGGAAGTTTCCCTTTGGTTATTTGTGATGATTGCTATTGTGGATTTTATTCAGCCTTTCTGCAACAATGAATGAGCCACACAGAAATGTTGCAAGTTTTACACAAGTCCTTGATTTGTCCACTATTTCATTTACAGATTGAGCTTTCAGAAAAGTACAAAGAAAAGACCTGTGGACTATGTGGAAACTTCAATGGTGACAAGTCTGATGATGCCTTTAAAAATGGTAAACATGTTGATGAAACCTCTTTAAGTAATTCAGCTGTTGATATTTTAATATACAATATACAAACATTTGTTTATTATAGAATATGACTTGGCTACATGGAAAGAGTCTTCATCTGAATCCTGTGGGCACATCGAAATGCAACTTAATGGTCAATGTGAAAACCAGGTATTATGACAATTTAAATGTGTACAGATTTTGTAAATATGTCTGAATTTCAGGATTTCAAAGTCAGCTATTGGGAAGTAACAATACATTGATATGGATCAATAAATCAATCAAATGATTAACAATATAGTGTATCAGTTATTTGCATAAAATCAATACATCCATATTTTTTGGTGCAATGCAACAACAAAAGCAGTAGTTGCAGCCAATTTAAGACATGTTCATTTTTTCGATGTCCCAGACAAGCCTTTGCCAGCAGTACCTCAGCAGTCCAGGGTTTAGTGGCTGTTATGATGTGATGGACATGAGTTCATTTGAAAAAGCCTGTGAGAGCGACCTGTGTCAATGTTACGGCAACCACGACTGTCTGTGCAACACCCTAACAGAGATTTCACAGCAATGCACACATGCTGGAGGACAACCAGGAACATGGAGGACAAAACAGCTCTGCCGTGAGTATCATAAAATAAAAAGAATAAACAATTCATACTCTGAGTGTGTTTACATGCATGTTCTTTAGCTGATTTGTATGCGGTTGTGTAAATGAGTGAGTATTTTTCCTCAGAAAAGGATCAGAAATGACACAAGCATATCGGCTAAGTTATTTTTTCCATTATATTTATTTTGCCTGGCATGTAAACATCCTTACAGGCACATGTGTGACTAGGCTATATAGCCATAAGTCAGTTTAAAATGATAATTTTACTAGCGTCTATTTTCGTCTTAATGTAAACAATTAAGTGGCACAGTTGGTAGCAATGTCGCCTCACTGCAAGAAGGTTGCTGGTTCGAGCCTCTGCTGGGTCAGTTGGTATTTCTGTGTGGAGTTTGCGTGTTCTCCCCATGTTGATTTCCTCCGGGTGCTCCAGTATACCCCAAAAGTCCAAAGACATTTGGTACAGGTGAATTGGGTTAGCTAAAATTGTCCGTAGTGAATGAGAGTGTATGGATGTTTCCCAGTACTGGGTTGCAGCTGGAAGGGCATCTGTTGCGTAAAACATATGCTGGATAAGTTGGCGGTTCATTCTGCTGGTTCATTAAGCTAAAAAGAAAATAAATGAATAAATAAACTATTAATCCATTCAAGTTAATTGACGAGGCACCTTACAACAAGAAGGTCACAAGTTCCAGGCCGGGCCAGTTGGCATTTCTGTGTGGAGTTTGCATGTTCTCCCTGTGTTCGTGTGGGTTTCTTCCAGGTGCTCCGGTTTCCCCCACAATCCAAAGACATGTGCTATAGGTGAATTGGATGGACTAAATTGGCCGTAGTGTATGAGCGTGTGTGAATGTGAGTGTGTATGGGTGTTTCCCAGTACTGGTTTGCAGCTAGAAGGGCATCCGCAGCGTAAAACATGCTGGAATAGTTGGTGGTTCATTCAGCAGTGGCGACCCCTGATAAATAAGGGACTAAGCCGAAGGAAAATAAATGAAAACAAAAATTTGTAAATAAAATAAATGAAAATTATAAAAGCATACCAACATTCATAAATATATAGAACAATATATAACTATAACTGTACATAAATATAAAGAGCAAAATAAAAAAATAATATAAAACGAGTATATTTCTTTCATATTTATTCCATAATTGTCTGTAAGTTTAGCATTAGCATTCTTTAATACTATGAGATTATAATTCTTTATACTGTACAACATTATAATTCACTTAACAAGTAGAAACAGCCACACAAATGATAACATTTTAACTTGCTGAGAAAAAGCTAATTAAATAATAAAGACTTGTACTTTTAGTTTGTGGATAACCAAGTAAAAACAATTTATGTTTATGTGCAAAGTGAATGTATATATTCGTGAAGTAACGTAATAATTGCTTTTTTTTTTTTTTTTTGAGCAGCAAAGACGTGTCCTCTAAACCTGCTGTACCTGGAGTGTGGTGGTCCATGCAAGAGCACCTGCTCAGCCCCAACTGCAGATCTGATGTGTACCGATCACTGTGTGGACGGCTGCTTCTGCCCTGAAGGTGAAAAGTGACTTACTGATTTGTTTATTATTATAGTTTATTTTTTGTTTTATAATTCATTATTATATGATTTCATTACATTATTATAACATTTCCACAAGAAGAGAATGGCTCTATGAATTTAAAAAAAAAGTATATGTTCCCCCAATTTTTTCAGTTTGATTGGTTTGGTTAAATTACATTTTAATGAGAATAGCATAATATGCAAATTAATTTAAATGGTTAACTAATAAAACTTAACGTTTTACAGCTCTGTACAAATATTTGCAGAATTCTTCAAAGTAAACATATTTTTATGAATCTATGAAATATATTTGTTAGTTTAAATTGTATTCTTGTTCTGTTAAAATTAATGGAGGAAAAGTTGTGTGATAATAGCTTTGAAAACATGTTTTATGAATTATATTTATTATTATTATAAATCATCATTTCCCTATTAGTGTGGTTTAGTTTGTCTGAAGATCCTTCAAATATAGCTTGTCCTCACATGAATATGCTTATTCTTACATTAACAGTGAAGACAGCTTCATATCAGAACTGTTTTGTGCTCAGTCTTGTTCACCACTTTGCCTTGTTTTTTGTAAAGGTATGGTCGAGGATGACATCGGTCAGAGTGGATGTGTTCCAGTGAACAAATGCCCATGTGTACACAATAACAAAACCTACTTCTCAGGAGACTCGTACACACAGGCTTGTAAAACATGGTGAGTTAAGCACAGAAAAACGAACCTTTAAACAGAATTTCACCAAACTAACGCTGCTTACTTTCCTTACCAGTACATGTGATGCTGGACACTGGACCTGCTCATACCTGGACTGTCCTGGAATCTGCTCTGTTGTTGGAGGGTCTCACGTCACCACTTATGATGGAAAAACCTTCACCTTCAGTGGGAACTGCGACTACATCCTCACTAAGGTCACTAATAGTCTGACAGCCTTCATTCTTTATTCACGAGTCTGAATCATACTCATGTAAATGTACCATTACTTGCCAAAAATGTAGTATAAGTAGAATAAAAGTATCTGTTCTAAATGCTACCCAAAGTATGAGTAAAATAGCCCTTCTAAAATTAATCTTATGTAGTGAGAGTTATACCATGACATTTAATCCACCGTATACCCTGCAAATTAAAAATGCAGCTTACATCAGTGCCAGGTGTGTTTCAAAGTTTAAGTTTAAGGCCATTCATTGAATGTAAATGAAAAATGTGTGATTAATTTAAAGTGAGAACACATTACATTAATATATGCACCTATAATAAGCCGTCAGTGGGCAGGTTGATGTGTTTACATTCATATGCATGAACATATGCAGTTTGTGCATGTGTTTGCAAACACAACATTCTGTAGTGCATTTAGCTATTGTTTAAGGCCATTTTGCATATTCAGTCATCATACTGTACAATTGGCATCTTTCATCTTCTCATCACTGACATGCAGTCTAAATGGTCTCCCGGTCATTGTGTATAACAATTTTGTTTCTTCTTGGACATTTTTAGCTTTTTCACACTGTACAGTACATGTTTGCTGCATATACATTACCTGACAAGAGTCTTGTCGTCGATTTCAGTTGTAAGTAACAAATAATAACTCGACTTCCAGTTAATCATTCGGAAAAGAGACAGAAGATCGATTTTTCTGATGAATCATCTGTTAAACTGCATCATAATCATCACAAAGCCTATTCAACATTTTTCACTGAAATCAGTGAAGTTTGGTGAAGAAAAAAAAATCATGGTTTGGGGTTACATTCACTATGGTGGCGTGCAAAAGATCTGCAGGGTGGATGGCAACATCAACAGCCTGAGATATCAAGACATTTGTGTTGACCATTACATTACAAACCACAGGAGAGAGCAAATTCTTCAGCAGGATAGCGCTCCTTCTCAAACTTCAGCCTCCACATCAAAGTTCCTGAAATCAAAGAAGGTCAAGGTGCTCTAGGATTGGCCAGCCCAGTTACCAGATATGAATATTATTAAGCATGTCTGGGGATAAAATGAAGGAAGAGGCATTGAAGATGAATCTAAATAATCTTGATGAAGTTCTGCAAGAACGCTTTCTTTGCCATTCCAGATGACTTATTAATATTATTATTAATAAGTGAATTGAGTCATTGCAGAGATGTATGGATGCAGTCATCCAAGCTCATGGGAGTCATACACAATATTAATTCTTTATCCACTGTGTATGACTATATATTCTATACTGTACATTATTTCTGTTAAGTGACAAGACTTGTGTCTAAGCAAAGTCAGACCCTACTGTCGTCATTAAATAATTGAAAATCAAGGCATGATCCTATTTTATTTTGGTAAAATAAGCGTAATCTAGAGGCCTTTACTTTTCACATAAGCCACTTGCGATACCAAATGATCAACTAGAAGTCAAGTTATTATTTGTTGTTCCTAAAACTTGCATAGACGACAAGAGTATACTGTAAAGCAGGAATGAGCGAACTTGATCCTGGAGGGCCGGTGTCCTGCATAGTTTTGCTCCAACCCAACTCAAACACACCTGCCTGTAGCTTTCTGGTGATCTTAAAGATGCTAATTAGTGTGCTCAGGTGTGTTTGATTAGTGTTGGAGCAAAGCTCTGCAGGGACACCAGCCCTCCAGGATCAAGTTTACACATCCCTGCTGTTAAGCGTCCATGCCTTGATGTCAGTCTGCCTGATGCAGGTTTTATATGTGCGATTTGATTGGATGGGAATCATGAGTGAGGCTGAGTAAAAATAGCACAGTAAAAGTACTGAGACAGCACTAACATTTTGAAGTACATGAAGTGGTAAGGAAAAACTACTCAATTACAGTAATTTGAGTCTTTTTAACTTATTACTTTACACCACTTCCAACATTATTTATCATTTGGAAGTGCTTGAGATTCCTTTTTTAACTTCTGATGTCAGCACTTACATTTATTTACATTTACTTATATTTATTATATGTTTGTTTGTTTGTTCCAGCACTCTAATGACAGTGACTTTGCTGTTGTGGGCAATCTGGCACCGTGTAACCCGGACCGAACAGACATTTGTCTAAATTCAGTTGCCCTTGTCATCTTGGGAATCACTGTAAGCTCCGGGTTTCATTTTTTCTCTTTTAAACGTTTTCATCATTTCCAATTCTAAAATAAGCAGAAAATATTCAAGAAAAGAACCAACTAATAGTGTCAAAATCATCACATTGTTGTTTTCCTTGCAAAACAGATCAGCTTTTCCTCTAATGGTGATGTGACACTGAATGGAAACAGCCCATTTAACCTCCCTGCTATCATAGGTGGGGGATTCATGTTCATCATAAGCATGTTAAACCAAAATTAAATCTACAGTAGCAAAACTCTTCTGTTCATATGCTAACTACCTGTTTCATTGTCCCAGGTCCTGTGAGCATCTTCCAGCCCTCTTCATCTTTCGTTATTGCTGATTTACACAGTATTCGTCTAGAAATCCAGCTAGCTCCAATTATGCAGTTGTATATTGTAGCCAGCACTGAAGAGAAAGGGAAAATGACTGGTGAGTAAAGAAAGACAGCAAATCCTGCTTTTAATGATTCACTGTAATCCTATTGTAAGAAACAACTTCACAGGCATCTTATTGATACATTTGTAACACAATAAGTGTATTCTCTTGTTGTCTTTCCATTAAATTCTACATCTTGTTTGCTTCAGGTCTGTGTGGAAACTATAACGATGTCCAAAAAGACGACTTTAAAACAGAATCGGGCATTATAGAGGGCACATCCACAACCTTTGTCAACTACTGGATAAAAAACAACGTGCAGTACAGCTGTACAGATGTTAAAGACACATTTACGGAAAACCCTTGTAGCTTGCGCATTGAGACAGGTACTTTTGACTTTTTTTAGAAACATTACTACAGCATGCATCAATAAAAGGACTTCATACAGTATGTCTGGCTGCTGGTAAGCCTGTCTGGCTTCATTCTGTAAAAACATATGCCTGGATGTACATTATACTGCTTATTATATTGTCACTAAAGTAAACAGTTAATCACAAAACATTGGTCTGAACTGTGATAAAGCTGAATCAAATTGGCTGAATGCAACCTACACTAACCTATGCATAATTTAGTCACAAGCTGCTGCCAAACATTAAATTAGCAAAAATAAAAAACTTCAAAAAAAATAATAAAAAATTGGCGCTCTCCAGAAATGTATATAGTTGTACATTTTCAGAATGAGCCTGGGTTGGAAAATACGGTCAACATGATTCAAACTACAAGATGAGCCTGCATTATTAGTTTCAGCAGTTGTTATCTGGGAATAGCATACTCAAAGTTGATCAATCAGAATATTCCAGAGAGCTGTGTAATAAGCACCAATAACAGGATTCAATAAACATAGTTTAGGCTGTTGTAGCATGAAAAATTCCCAGCCCTATAAATAAATATGTTATTGTTTGGGATATTGGAGGATAATTTTTTGTTTGTCTTGCTCAAATTATAGATGTTGTTCTTTTTATACAGAGAAACTTGCTAAAGACTGGTGTTCCCGCCTTACAAATCAAAGTGGAGTCTTTTCGGCATGTCATTCAGAAATATGCCCTGACATTTACTACCAAGTGAGTGTTTTTGCACAAAGTGAGAGAATAAACCAATGTAAAGAGCCCCTTTCTCCATTTAATCTGAGTTTCATTTTCTGCAGTGGTGCGTCTATGACACCTGCAAGTGTGCAGATATCAGGCAGTGCATGTGTGCGGCTCTTTCCACCTATGCCCACGCATGTGCTGCCAGAGGAATCATTCTCCAAGGCTGGATGGATGCAGAGCCTTGTGGTGAGAGTTTTTGTTGTTGTTCATATTGCTTGAAATTCTTATTAATTTTATTATTTTAAGGGACACGTTTAACTATGTTTGAAACATCTGTCTGTACAGAGACTAACTGTCCAGACAATATGAAATACTCCTATGGTGTGACCAGTTGTGACAGCACCTGCCGTTCTCTCAGTGGACAAGAAAACACCTGCCAAGGGTCCTTCACACCTGTAGATGGCTGCGTCTGTCCTGAGGGAACCTTCCTTAATGAAGAGGACAGATGTGTGCCTGCTGACCAGTGCCCTTGTTATCTTGATGACAAGGTCATACATCCATCAGAAACAATCTCCAAAGATGGAGTTAAATGGTAAATATGATGGTTCAGCATACATTATTGACACATTACATCAGGGGTACTCAAGTTCAGAGAACAAGGAGGGAACATTTATCCACATGAAATGCGAAATGCCACAAACAACACAATGAGAACATTTACATGAACACCACTAATCTAATTTTAATATGATTACGACAATACTCTGATTAAGAGTCGACAATGTAAACAGTCATTTTTGATTACCCTAATCTGACTAAATAGTCATAATCGAGCTAAACAGAAATCGAGTTAAGATGTTGAGTATGCCGATTTTAGGGCAGTACAGACATACAAACAGCACAATCAAACTATTACAGTCGTGTAGGATTTTCACAGCATTTTGCAACAGGATAGTCCATATACACACGACTGTTTGACACATTCTTCTCTGCACCTTCAGAGTCAGTGAAGGATCACCGACACCTGCATCACAAAATGCAGAGGTTCCGTACGCCATGCAGTATCAAATTTCTTTAAAACAACACTCTTTAAGCAGTTCATACTCGCATCCAATATCTTGATTTTCACGGGGGGCATGCATGAAATGTTCCTGAATGAAAGTGAAAGTGCCCAACTGCAGTTAAAGTCAACAAATTAAGAATGAAGCGCCTGATAATACATGAAACTCCAGAGGAAATATGGATAGCCTGGTGACGCAATGACGTTAATCGAATTATGTGCTATAACATGTAAAACGGGATCATTCAAAGAACGGAACATTCAAAATGCAATTCATGTAAACACCTTAATCATATTATTGTCTTACTCAGATTAAGGCAAATAATTTGATTACTGATGTCCATGCAAACGTAGGCAATGACGTAATAAACTTTGTATAAGATAATTTGATCAGTTTTACTGGCTTTAAAATTCAGTTTATTAGTAAGTCTGGCCTGTCCTTATCTATTTAAAATGTAACACTGAACGTGATCGTAATGTGGAACAAAAGAAAGTGGATTAACCTTGAAAAAATGCCTTTATTTATACAAAATCAGCATTAAATATATTTGTATTTAATAAATATTAATTAAATAATATTAAACAAATTAATAAATTTTTTTTGTGTTTTTTTGTCTTTTTAAGGTGAGTTTTATACTCTGGGTCAATATACAAAGTTGTTGTTATTGTCGTTATTATTATTAATAGTATTGCTATAGTATTAGTTGTACATTAACTTTTTAGTCAGTTGTTTTTTTACTGCTTTACTTACATCTGCGATTGACCACTTTTTGCCATATTTCCTAAGCTTTTTGTTCAGTATGCGACAGGTTTTAGGAGTGCAAGCTGCATTTAAATGAAGTGAACATAAAACCTAATATGTGCATTACTCTTGAGTGCAATCCTTTGGAAAATAAATATATTATGCATACATGCATGTTCAGCATGGTGTAGACGCGGGCTTTGGGATGCTAATTGAGTACCCATGCACTACATTATTGATTAAAAACATATGATAACCTATATTATCTGGTTTGGTCATATTGCAGCACCTGCAACCTTGGCAAATTGCAGTGCTCCAGTCAAGGTGAGCAGTAAATACCTGTTAAGACATTGTATAGGACTGAGCTAAGGTATACAACCCTTGTATGATGTGTTTTTTTATATACTTATTCCACATTAGACTGCGAGCCTCCAATGATCTTCTTCAACTGCTCTAATTATGAACAAGATCAGAAAGGGCTGGAGTGTCAGAGTACATGTGAGAAACAAGACTCCAACAATTGTGTAAGTTCTGATTGATGGATGGAACATGTACATGATAATAGGATGGAAGGAATAATATCAGTTTATTAGGGCTGTGCAATTAATCGAAAATCCAATTTCGATTTCCATTTTGTCTTCAAACGATTATGAAAAAGCATTAATCGAGATAAACGATTATTGCATCATATACCGCCCCCCTTTCAGCTGTTGCTCCTAAAAGCGCGAAAGACCGCGTGCTTATGTGTGTGCGGCATCGCGCACCTCTGCTGACGAGGCGCAGACTTCTAAAGTCATCTTAATGTGAGCGCTTTAATGGTCAAATAGATGTCAAAACGCAGTGTTTAGTGATTATTCATAATAACCCTCATTTGTGTAATAAACAAACGAGTTACGAGTTGAGGGTCAAAAGACACGTGAAAGAGAAACCATTAAAGAGACAGCGCGCGATGTTGCTTTTATCATTAATCAAACAAAACGAGAAAATCCTCTGCTCTTGACTGAAGGATTTTTGTAGCTAAAGTTTTATTCTCACAGTGAAAATCCTTAAAGCACAGTTTGTTTCATATTTTTATTCTATTGTATTTATTTATTTTTCCTTTGCAGGGAGGAAAATAACTGTATGTATACATTAAAGTCAGAATTATTAGCCCTCCTGAATATTAGCAACCCTTTTCCTGCCCAATTTCTGTTTGATGGAAAGATTTTTTTTAAACTTATTTCTGAACATAATAGTTTCTATTTATCATTTCTGATTACTGATTTCTTTTATCTTTGTTATGATGACAGTACATAAAATTTTTCTAGATATTTTTCTAAACACAAGCATTCAGATTAAAGTGCAATTTAAAGGCTTAATAAGGGTAATTAAGCAGTTCATTGTATAACAGTAGTTTCTTCTGCAGACAATCAAAAAATATATCGCTCAAGTAGGGGTAATAATATTGACCTTAAAATGGGTTTCAAAATATTTAAACCTGCTTTTATTCTAGCTAAAATAAAACAAATAAGCCTAGAAGAAAAATATTATAGGAAATACTGTTAAAATTCCTTGCTCTGTTAAACATCATTTGGGAAATATTTATTAAAAAAAAAAACATATTCCCAGAAGCGCTAATAATTTTGACTTCAACAGTAATCGTTTTGAATAATCGTGATTACAATCATCACCAAAATAATCGTGATTATGATTTTTCCCAAAATCGAGCAGCCCTACAGTTTATAATGCATTATTAACATGAAAAGGAATAAGTATTCTGTAATGACACTGATTGTTTTTGGGCTTGTGTGTTGGCAATAGGTCAGCACAGGGTGTGTATCAGGGTGTATGTGTCCTGAGGGTCTTCTGGCTGATGGAGAAGGTGGATGTGTGGCGAGTTATGAATGTTCATGTACCCACAACGGGGTCACCTATAAACCTATGGAGCAAGTTCAACAGGACTGTAACACCTGGTGAGCCCATCCCTGTACATTATTAATGTTGACAGATGTAGTACATGTTAATTTAAATGTGAAGATTAGTTGAATTAATTAACTGAAGATTAACTTTTGTCGTAAGTGAAGTTTATTCATAAACAAATTTCAAGAGGATCACGTGCTTATGATTGACACGGCTGGCCCCGAGTCTAGCTAATGTACGAACCACCAATCAGACTATTCCTAACCCAGTATAAATAACAAAACATCTTACCTTTAGTCATCTTCGTCTTGAAGAATCCCCCCTTCCACCCCTTCTCCTCCTCTTTTCTACAGGGCAGCACGGCGGCCCAGCGGATAGCACTGCGGCCTCACAGCAAAAAATGCCTCTGGCTCGGGTATCCACCCAACCGGACGGCATTTTCGTGTCGAATTTGTGTTCTCCCAGTGCTTGCGTGGGTTTTCCCCGGGTCCTCTAGTTTCCTCCCACACTCCCAAAAACATGAGACTTAAATAAATTGACTAAACCAAATTAGCACCATCCACTTAGGGGGGCGGGGGGTGGGGGTGAGGGGTTCTCAAGATCTACCCGAGCTCAAAATTCCCCTCTCGCCTGCAACGGAAGGGAGCTCCGGGCTCGAGGATCTTATGAGCTCGGGGCTCTCTTCCGGGACAGCATGCCAAACTAGCTTATTACCAATCATCAGCTAAGTGTGAACTCTTGAAATCTACATTGTATCAACATCACAAGATGTGACGTGTCAAAATACTATAAGTCTTTTTAAGAATAAAGTTAATTAAATTAGGTGCTTGTAGAAAGTCAGAGCTGAACAGGCAGGAGCCCACCACTGTGAAGCAGAGAGAACTTAGAAGTAGATTGACCATAGAGGAGCAATACTAGTTGCACGTTTTATTTTATCCAAGGTAAAAATCAGATAAAATGGGCTTCTTTTTTTTTATTTCAGCACATGCACCAACGGTATGTGGATTTGTACAGAAGTGTCGTGTTACGGAACCTGTACCATCTACGGTGAAGGTCATTTCAAGACTTTTGATGGCAACAGATACTCCTACCATGGAGATTGTGCACACACTTTGGCTCACGTATGTTTTCCCTATTCTGTGTAACTTGCTGGCAGTAAATATGTTTGTTTGATAGTATACTTAAGTACATTTGCTTCTGTTATAATGAGGATAGTACTTAATTTGCTACATTCCAAATCATATTCAGGGTTTCTGCAGGTTTTAGAAATTCTTAATCAAACTTTGCAGAAATTGAGGACGCACAACCGAAATTTGGAAAGTCTTATTATTAAACATGCATGCTTTATGTTGTTCCACCACTGGTCTTCCTCATGCAATATTGAAATACTGTTGATAATAGTTTAATATAAAAATAAGTATTTTTAAGTATGTGTTGTAGAAAACATCTAAGAATACAATGAACATGTATTTCACTTTACAAAAGTAGTGAATTGTCTTGTTTGTGTCAACTTCTTCACTGTCTGGCGTCATTATTTGTAGGATTCTTGCAGTATGGACCAATCTCCCTCATTCAGACTTGTCTCAGAGAACAAACTCTGTGAATCCACCAGCACCATCTGCAAGTCCATCAGTCTGTTCTTTGGGGTGAGCTCATTTTATAGCTCAAACTAAGCATTCATGTAGTATTACACATTTTACAATTGCATCATTTGCAACAATAACATCCCTTTTTTTTTGTTTATGTAATGAGGACAAGCCCATTTTAAAAATTTAAATACATAATCTGTAATAATGTGTGAATTTGCATTAATGCCATTTGAGGAAAATATCTTAAAAATATCATTTTAGATCCAGCAGCCATCTGAGATACATTTATCTGAGGATGGAGTCAAGGTTTTGGAAAGCAGCAACACTGAATACAAATATCAAATCCATTCTGCTGGAATATATATTGTTGTCGAGGTCCAAGGTCTTTTGAACTTAATCTGGGACAAAAAAACAAGTGTGATTCTTCAACTCCATCCCAACTTAAAGGTATGCATTCTTCACAACAACAACCAGTACACAATAATATTCATCTCTCAACATTCTCATGATCTCTATTGCAGGGCAATGTGTGTGGACTGTGTGGAAACTTTGATGGTAATGCAAATAATGACTTTATGAAACACAATGGAGAAGTGGTGACCGATCCAGAGAAGTTTGGGATCAGCTGGAAGGTGAAACCCGACTGCCCGGATGTGACAAACATAAAAGACTTGTGTACAGAAAATCCACATCGCAGTGTCTGGTCTGAAAAACGATGTAGCATCATAATAAGTGATGTCTTTAAGGATTGCCACACACTTGTAAGTAACAGTAAATGCAAAGCTGTACAGATGTACATGTTATGATGTTCATAAACTATGAATCTCCTCAATGACGGATAATGTATTACGGAACCTTTTTTAAAACAGTGGATTAGTTTAGAATGACACTAGTGGCATAGTTTACAGAGGTTGTTTGGTAGGTAGATATGGTTTGCAGTCAACTGTCCTCATCTCATAACAGTGCCACACAAAGGAACTCACATAGTAACAACAAATGCACATTAAGACATAAAACGTAAACATAAAGAATTAATAAATAAATACTTTAAGTGTCCCCGGTATGGAATTATTTTTGTATCGTTTCGTTCTACAGCTTAATACTAGAAACCTGCAACCAAAAGGAAGGAGCTGAAACTCTGAGTGTAGGGGATGAGCAGTGTTACTAAAAATTGAATTTGTGATTCAAGAGCTTTAGCTGCCTGGTGTACACAGCCTCTAGATTGGCTAGTGACACCCCGGTCAGCTTATTGGACTACTTAACTATATTATATGATTTAGTTTTAATTCTTGACAGAGAGATTCCCAAACCATGACACCAAAGCAAAGGATAAAACGGATTCAAAAAAAGCATGATAAAATCAATATGGAAATGATTTAACTTTCTCAAGCAAAATAGTCGCTGGTGCCACTTTTTACACACTGCTGCACAATTCTCATCAAAGGAAAGTTTAGAGCAGTGATATGTTCTGTTTCTTTTTCTACTAGGTGGACCCTAACCAATATTATGACGATTGTAAAAGAGACACTTGTGGATGTGAAACTGGGGGTGACTGTGACTGTTTCTGCACTGCAGTGGCAGCCTATGCTGCTGAATGCCGTCGAAAGGGAGCTTGTGTGAAATGGCGGAGCCCAAATACATGCCGTAAGTCCTAATATTTCTAAAATTTCAATTAATAGTTCACTTTTGCACAAAGGGTCTTTTGTTTTGCCTATACACATGATGTAAAGAAGGGGTGCCCAAACACGGTCCTAGAGGGCCAGGGTCCTGCATACTTTATCTTCAACTTCTTTCAACACAACTGGCTGGAAGTTTCTAGTATACCTAGAAAATGCTTGATTGGCTGGTTTAGGTGTGTCTAATTGGGTTGGATGTAAACTCTGCTGGACATCGACCCTCCAAGACCAAGGCTTTGTAACATCATCATCAGCTACCAAATTTCAGTTCCAATACTCAAGACCGCAAGAAAAGAGGACGTGTGAAACTTCTCGGATGTGCTCTTGATATCGAGGATGCACCGATGCAGACTTGAGCACCGAACTTGCTCTGGAAGTCCCAGAAGTCATTGCGACTGGAGATGGGAAGTGCAGCATTTTATATAGGTTTATTATAAAAGTTTAAAGATGTAACTTATTTATCTTAGGAGTTTCCCTAAATGACACGGTGAAAGTAAACATTACTATAGACATCTTAATAAAGCAATTAACACATTAAGGGCGTTTATTTGCTAAAATTCGTTTTATTTATATCGTGCACCATATATTTTTAATGTTTTTATGCAGAGTATATTTTGAAAAGGTAAAAAACATAAAATACTTGTATGAATGCTGTAATGTTTAAATATTTATCTATTGAAAGCACGTGAAGGTCATGTGACCAGCAGGAAGAACGAAGCATCTCATTTCTCACAGGATGCGTTCTCTGTTTTCGTGGTCTCCCGAGTTCAATCTTCCAAGGACACCTGGCAAGACCGCTCTCCACAAGAACACAAATCTGTTCTCTGCTTTCTTGAAATTGAGAAAAAGTTCAAGTTTGGGCACCCCTGATGTAAAGGAACCGCGTAGTGCGTCTACGGTTATAGGCAGGGCCTGTGCTAAGGTGACATCGCATTGCACACATTCTGAAAACACTTGTTGGGAGACGCTACTTATTATTTATGGAGATAAAAAAAGGAAGTGCGCAGACTTTTTAGTATTGTAACATGGTTGTGTACATACATTGATCACCAAATTAGAATTTTGCATTATAAGTGTATAAACAACACACTGTATTCAAGCGTTTTTAGTTGACTCTTTTTATAAAAAAAACTCTAATAAATGAAATTTTATTTTCTGTTTTAATGACCAGAGTGTTTTTTCTCACAGCTCTATTTTGTGACTATTACAACCCTCCGGGAAAATGTGAGTGGCACTATGATTCCTGTGGACCACCCTGCCCAAAAACCTGCAAAAACCCAACTGGAACCTGCTCTGATCAGATTCCTTTCCTTGAAGGTCAGGAGTAATGTTATTTATATAAAACTATAAACATATTTTATTGACTTTTATAGATCTGTCAAATGTTTAACAAGATGAATTTCATGTTAAAGTTTGTTTTGTATGGCTTAAAGCATTAATTCTCAACCACGTTCCTGGAGGAGCACCAGCTCTGCACATTTCTATGTCTCCTTAACCAAACACACCTTATTCAGGCCCCCTGGGAACATAATTGAGAAACACTGGCTTAAAGGGTTATTTCACCCAAAAATAAAAAGTATGTTTTACACGGCTTTTACATGTCACATTCATGATGTTTGAATCATCTGAGAGCTTTTTTCATCTTTAGAAAGCAAATAAAGATGTTTTAAATTAAATCCGAGATCTCCTTCATCCTCCAAATATAGCAAAGCTCATGACTTGTTCATCCTTAAGTGGTTCAATCAGAATATTTTCAAGCTATGAGAATACGTTTGTGCACGCAAAAATATCGATGTATGTTTAATAAACAATTTATTTTCCTTAGTGTCAGTGTAGGGCGCTTGTTAATGAGAATGTGCTTCTTACATATTACCTCAGATACACCTGTGTTTTGTTTCGAACAGAGGAAGTTGTGTGCGGGGATGCGAGGTACATATCACTGCTATTGAAGGCATGTTTTTTAGGATTATTTTAACATTTTTCTGAACTTGCTGTTTATGGAGAATGAGCAAACTCTCAGATTTAACATAATTAACACATGATAACATAGTTTTCATTTTTGGGCGAATTGGCCTTTTAACATTAAAAGCAAGACTAAAGCCCAATTCCAATTAAATTTTAGCTACCCCATCCCTATGCATCACCTTCCTCTTTGTCCTTAAAACAAAGTGGAAAGATTAGATATGTTGTTGCTAGAACATGCATCACATGAGAGGTTGTCTGCGGTCTGCATCATTCAAGGCATATGGACAGTATCATTTTCACAGTAGGGTCGGTAGGTCGGTTACTTTATTTATACCCGAAGGTAGATTTGGTTTGCAGTCAAGAGTCTTCATCTCATAACAGTGCCACACAAAGGAACTCTCATAGTAACAACAACAAATGAACATAAAGACACGTTCATTCAGAAGATTACTCAAACTGTATGAGCCTCCAGATTACCTTAGGCATCCCAATTACAGCCAGTGGATCATGTTGCAAGAAGCTGAACACTGATCATATTCATGGATGTAAACAAAAGAAAATGAAATTAAAGTTATATCCGATGTGCTGTTGAAACAAATTCCCTTCTTCTAGACCTTTCTGACAGGATGGCCTATTCTGTCAAGTCACTGGGTATCAAAATAAAAATATGTCATAGGACTATCGTGCAGTGGTTATTATAAGGGACTATAATATTCCAAATTTCTTGCTTTCTGTTTTTATTTAACTCTTCTTTGACAAATGGAGGGGAAGGCTAAGGTGTAGGAATGTGATTGGGCTTTTATTTTATGAGTAAAATGTTACACCATTCCAATTTCCATCATTTGTTCAGGACATAACTAAAGGGTTTCATTATTATATATTAGATTGGTGATGCACAGACAATAATGGTAAAAACTATTTGCTCTTTCTTTTCCTCATATGCACCAATGTCTTGCCCAGGATGTTTTCCTCAGTGCCCTCCAGAAACTCCATATTTGCTGGATGAAACCATGACTTGTGTTAAAGAGTGTTACTGTATCTATAATGGAAAGCAATTCACTGTTGGATCAAAAGTGTACACCATTGAATACAAGGAAGGAACATGTGCCAGTGGTGTATGTATAGAAAATGGGGCAATAAAAAACATTACAATGGATTGTCCAACAACCACTCCTTCTACCACCACTACTGTACCACCACCATCTACAGCAACAGAAATATTTATCTCTACAACTCCTACAGTGACAACCACAACTACAACTCCTACAATACCAACTATCACTACCATAGTAACTCCACCATCTACAACACCAGAAATATCTACCGCTACCTTTACAACTCCAACAGTGACAACCACAACTCCTACAATACCTACTACCACTACTACTGTAACGCCACCATCTACTACAATGGAAATGTCTACCACTATCTTTACAACTCCTACAGAGACAACCACAATTTCTACAAAACCTACTACCACAACACCACCATCTACAACACCAGAAATATCTACCGTTACCTCTACAACTCCTACAGGGACAACTGCAACTCCTACAATACCTACTACAACTACTACTGTGACACCACCATCTACAACAACAGAAATATCTACAACTCCAACAGTATCAACCATAACTCCTACAATAACTACTACCACAACACCACCATCTACAACAATAGAGATATCTACCGCTACCTCTACAACTCCTACAGTGACAACCACAACTCCTACGAAATCTACTACCATAACACCACCATCTACAACAACAGAAACATCTAGCACTATCCGTACAACTTCTACAGTGACAATCACAACTCCTACAATATCTACAACCACTATTACCCTAACAACACCTATTTGTCATTGGTCAGAGTGGTTTGACAACAGCCAGCCCAGCACAGATGTTGAAGGACAGGAAATTGAATCCATCAAAGAGTTATGGCAAACTAATAAAATTCCCTGTGAGATACCAGACAAGATTGAATGCATGTCAAATTATGGTGATAAAAACTATACAGGCGAGAACTGGAACCATGATCAAGTAGTGTCCTGTAATACATCTTTTGGATTATTATGCTCAAACCTTGATAATGCATATGAAGCTTGTGATAATCATCTAATACGTGTATGTTGCAATGGATCACTAAGTACCACAAGTTCTACAATATCAACTACCTCTACTACTATAACACCACCATCTACAACATCAGTAACGTCTACCACTACTTCTACAACTCCTACAATACCTACCACTAGTACTATAACACCACCATCTACAACATCAGTAACGTCTACCACTACTTCTACAACTCCTACAATACCTACCACTAGTACTATAACACCACCATCTACAACATCAGTAACGTCTACCACTACTTTTACAACTCCTACAATACCTACCACTAGTACTATAACACCACCCTCTAAAACAACAGTAACATCTACCACTACTTTTACAACTCCTACAGTGACAACCACAACTCCTACAATACCTACTACTACATCACCACCATCTACAACAACAGAACTATCTACAGTTACCTCTACAACTCTTACAGGGACAACTGCAACTCCTACAATACCTACTACAAGTACTACTGTGAGACCACCATCTACAACAACAGAAATATCTACAACTCCAACAGTATCAACCATAACTCCTACAATAACTACTACCACAACACCACCATCTACAACAATAGAGATATCTACCGCTACCTCT